CTGCTTGGCAGTGCGCGGTGGAACATCGCAACGGTACCTCACCAAACGATACTCCTTGCGGTCGTCCACGGACAAGCTGATGCTGGTGGCTTGTTCGAGACGCTGCTTGCGAACACTCTTGACAGCCCAGTGCATAACAAGAATCATGTTCTTGAGACCTCAGATGATTAATTAAATTATTTGTCCAATTTTAAATTTAAATGTGCCAAAATAAAATGTCAACAATCTGAAACCTTAGGCCTTTTAAAGTGCTGCATCCTGGCTCACACTGTCAAGCTTCGTGTTCCTGCCAGCAGCGAAGTCTTCCGTGGAATAGAATTTCACGGCACCTTTGAAAGAAGATGCTGTCCGGCACGCCCGCCACGCTCGCAGCCAATCTGCCGGCTGAGGAACGTTGCCGGAGAAGAGGTGCTGATGCTTGATGCTGTAAGGCAAGCACTGTGAGATCGGCGTGTCAGGAGCTAGGTAAACCTTCGTGGCCACCTGGTGAACGAAGGTCTTGCTGTGAGCGTGTATGCAGCATGCCTGCATCGCACTCCTGCCAAAGTCTGCGACTGATGCCTTAAATCACAGCTGACAACGACAACATGATGCGGTCCTTGATCGGGCCTCATAGGCACCCCACTTGGTAGAGAGGCGACTGCCCAGCCTTAGGCATTTAGGGCTGCGAAAGTTGGGCTGGTCACGGTCAGCCTTAATTTGATCACAAAGGGGCTATCCGCTCGCACTACACTGCACAATTCGGCCGGACTGCAACCTCTTCCGCTCTGCTGGGTTCTGTGCCAAAACATTCATCAAGTGTGCACAAAAGCGACAGCCGATGCCCCAATCGCCTCCTCGGCGAGCTGGTCTCTGGCCCAGCCAAACTGTCCGCTGCTGCTTGCCCCAAGACGTGTGGGTGAGGCTTCCGGCTTTGCTCCAAACTTCCTGGAAGCGAAGGAACCTGACTGACATGTTGGGATTGTATGCAAACGGACGAGATCAAGTCGAGAATGCCGGAAGCAAGAACCAACCAGCAACTGCAACATAGTCAAGTAGCAAGTCTGCCACAAACAATAACGATCCAACAGAGAGAGAGAGAGAGAGAGATAGAGAGAGAGAGAGAGAGAGAGAGAGAGAAAAAGAGAAAGAGAGAGAGAGAGAGAGACGGAGAGCACGAGAAAGAGAGAGAGAGAGAGAGAGAGAGAGTGAGAGAGAGAGGGCGAGAGAGATAGAGAGAGAACGAGAGAAAGAGAGAGAGAGAGAGACAGAGAGAGAGAGAGAGAGAGAGAGAGAGAGAGAGAGAGAGAGAGAGAGAGAGAGAGACACAGAGAGAGAGAGAGAGAGAGAGAGAGAGCACAGAGAGAGAGAGAGAGAGAGAGAGAAACACGACAGCAAGATGATAAAGAACCAAAATGAAAAAATAGATTGACATGTAATGTGTATGCATGCATGGCAGGCATGTAAGTATGTATGTATGTAGTATGTCTAGTTGCCCGGTTCAGAAACCCTAATAATAAGACCATTTATGATTTAAATTTCTATTTAAATATTAAATAAAATTATAAATTAAATAATAATTTAAATTAAAATTAGGGTTTCTGAACCGGGCAGCTTGCATCGGCTGCATTTCTCGTCGCCACCACGATGGCGAGCCAAATGCTCTGCATCGCTCTCAGTCGCGAGACCAACATCGCCACATCCCTTTCCGGTGTCGTCGTCGCCCTCCTGAGCCAGGCCTTCGCCGGACTCGAGCCGAAGCTTCTTCGGGGCCGCAGGCACGGATCCTTGTGGACCTCGTCTTTTTTTTGTCGGCGTCCGGTCCTGCTTCCGGGAGCGTAGTCCGAACCGAGCGGCAAGACCACGCAGGGTGCGGCTACCCACTGGCATTGAAATCCTGGGGGCCTTGGAGCCTTGAGCCTGGGAGCCTGAAGCGACCGCGCAGCACTTACGATGACAAGCAAACGCAACCGTGGCAACCGTGCTAAGACTGGAACTGAATCAGACTCTGCAACTGGTCCAACCGACTCCGACTAACCCGAGAACCGCGCCTCCAGCTTCCCGTTCGATCCGACAGCGAGCAGCTGCCTGGCAGACGTGAGGGTATTACCCCGAGTCAAGCAGCCCGAATGGCACAACACTGCGAACTCCTATGCACACTGCGGCGGTTTGTTTCACTGGGAGTCGGCAGGGTGACCCAGTCCAAATAATCTGTACTGCTCGGAGCAGGCTTTCCCGAATTTTGCACCCGGCCTCACCTAAGTCAGTCTATGATGCCAACTCCGAGTGGCCAAATTAGAAAACGCATGCCATTCTCCGTCATAATATGACGAATTAATGACTACTACTTTGCCCAGCGATGGGCAAGACGGGACGCCAATGTGGCCGTGGCACCCTTCCTCGAGCACTTCTTTGCTGCCTGCGGTCTCAAGACTTTCTGCCAACGCTTTGCCAAAGCTGACATGCCTTCAGCCTTCTGAGCCTTTGGAGCCTTTGGTGCCTTTGGAGGCTTCTGCGCCGATGCAGCCTTTCGCGCCTTGGGAGCCTTCCGTGGCTTGCCATGGCGCTTGCGGCATTTCGCTGCTGCGCCGAGCACAACTGAAGCAGTTATGCTTGGCGCAGCAACGGTGCTGCACAAGGCTGTCGGCCGGGAAGCTTTGGGCAGGCTCCAGTTTACCAACGCAAGCGCAAACTTCATTGCCACGGCTACAATCTGCACATGCATCGTGTTGCCGCCCATGCTGGCGAGCTCCTTGTCGGTCACTTTGCTGGGAAAAACCATACGGTGAATTGGAAAACCGTGCAGCATGACTTTTTCAAGCGGGCTAATGATCCTTCCAGCTCGTGCGGATACCAGTACGGCCCCAGGTGTAACAGTAGGCAGGGAGCCATCGGTCCGCACCCGGGCTCGGTTCACATTCTGGGATACATCCGCGACAAGCTCCTTACTGCCTGCATGCTTTGTGCAAATGATGTCCCAGGCATCACGCTCACGCGGCAAATGCAGGAACAACGTGTCTGCGCAGCAGGCGACTCCGCTCTCAGTGCAAGGCCTCCGACTCTCACTCTTCAACCGGCTGCCCTGCTGCATTGAAGCTTTGCACATCTTGTGCAATTCTTTCCACTTTGGAGCATGGGAGCCTGGAGCCTGGGAGCCTGGGAACCCACGGTTGGAAGCTTGCGACCACTTCCGTTTGCGGCTTTCCTGGTACTGTGCCACAGCAGGGTGGCTCGCCGGTAGCAGTCTATCCAAAAGATCGACTGCGTCTCCGGAAGCAACTGCATCCAGGACTTCCGCCCAAGCCTCACGAAGCCAGCACGACATGTCCTTTGGCGAGATGAGGCTCACATCTTGCCGGACCCCGATGAAGTAGTACCTAGGCCTCTGGATGGGCTCCTGTAGCTCGGCAGGGTTCATCAAAATCATTTCGACATGATAGCCTGTGGACCTGAGTGCCGCCAGAACCTTTGCAGAAACACGCTTGATGCCTGACACATTCTCCAGCACGAAGCACGAGGGCCGCACAAGTTGGATGCGTGCAACGACCCCATAGAATATTTGAGCCTGTTTTTCCTTGAGGAGCCTTGACTTATTGTGGAGCAGGCTGAACGGCTTGCAGCTGAAGCCGGCAATGTACAGGTGAACGAACGGTGCCTTGTCAGCATCCAGGACACTGTGGAACAGTACCGAGGGCTTGGTATTAGCCTCGATAACCGACCGAGGACCAGCAGCCACCTCACTCCCAAACAAATGCTGGTGCGTGATGCCGAGCTCCCTAAGGCCATGGATCGGTGCATCAATGCCACTGCAATCAGTTCCCACCAACAATCTTTGTGGAAGTTTGGCCGCCCCGAGACCAAAACGGGCATGAGTGGCACCGATGCTGGCCTCGGTGGCACTCTGAAAGCCGGACCCCCAGCCGTCCAGCCACTGCCTCAAAGTGCCTGGAATCATGGCGGCAGCGACTCTACTGGGCCTTGGAGCCTGAGAGCCTGGGTGCCTGGGTGCCTGGAGCCTTGAATGCAACGGTAACGTTTAAATTGCTGCACTTGCTGACAACTTCAAACTTCGCGACGAGTGACTGGCACTGGGACAGAAGCAACGGCGATGATCCCACCAGACCAGTACCCCTCAATGACCCTTGGATGCACACAAAACACCCTTAGATGCAGTGCCTGGCCTGATCGTTGCATCCAAGGGTCATCCGGGTGCATTGAAGGGTCCTTTCAAGTTTTGGTGTGTGCTTTGCTGAAGGAATACAGGTGGTACAGGGTGGGGTTTAGGATAAAGGTGGCTTGGTGTCGAGGGTTTCGAGTGTAACCTGGGTTTCAGCAATTGACCCTTGGATGCACACAAAACACCCTTAGATGCAGTGCCTGGCCTGATCGTTGCATCCAAGGGTCATCCGGGTGCATTGAAGGGTCCTGTCAAGTTTTGGTGTGTGCTTTGCTTAAGGAATTTACAGGGTGTACAGGGGGGCTTTAAGGATTTAGGTGGTTTGGTAACGAGGGTTTCGAGTGTAACCTGGGTTTCAACTATCATCGACGAACAACAATGACGAGTTTGAAGACTTGTATCAATCTTTGTGGAAGCTTGGTCGCCCCGAGACCAAAACGTGCTGGCATCGGTGGCACTCTGAAAGCCCGAACCCCAGCCATCCAGCCACTGCCTCAAAGTGCCTGGAGACGCACGGAGGGCTGGTAGACATGCAGCCTCAGGGGCTTGGAGCCTGAGAGCCTGAGAGCCTGGGCGCCTGGGGGCCTGGGGGCCTGGAGCCTTGAATGCAAAGTTTGAATTCTGCACTTGCACAACTTCAGACTTCGCGACGAGTGACTGGCACTGGGACAGAAGCAAAGCCGATGATCCCAGCAGTAAAGCCTCCCCCTCATTGCAGGAACAATCTGGCGGGACAACAGGATCCCTGGCCCAGATTTTGCCCCAGCTGGCGCATTAGCCCATTGGCCCAGCTGTCATCTGCCACTGCCTTGGCAGGTTGGCCTCAAGGCTGAGTTCCTGCGGCCCGACACCCGGCCAACGGTGCCCACAGTGACGTAACGGCAGCGTACACTGTGTGGGTAGGGTCAAAATGCACACTCTACTAGGCCTTGGAGCCTGAGAGCCTGGGTGCCTTGGTGCCTGGAGCCTTGAATGCAACGTTTAAGTTGAATGCATCACTTGCTGACAACTTCAAACTTCGCGACGAGTGACTGGCACTGGGACAGAAGCAAAGGCGATGATCCCACCAGACCAGTACCCCTCAATGACCCTTGGATGCACACAAAACACCCTTAGATGCAGTGCCTGGCCTGATCGTTGCATCCAAGGGTCATCCGGGTGCATTGAAGGGTCCTGTCAAGGTTTGGTGTGTGCTTTGCTTAAGGAATACAGGGGGTACAGGGGGCTTTAGGATTTAGGTAGTTTGGTGTCCAGGGTTTCGAGTGTAACCTGGGTTTCAGCAATTATCGACGATCAAGAACGGGGTTTAGGGTTTACTTTCATTTTATTAACTTATTATTTAATTAAATGTTACTTAATTTAAAATAATAATTTTGAAATTAAACTTTAACCCTAAACCCTAAACCCTCATGGGGGCTGTTAGGGGTTGAAGCCTTTACTGGAGTGGGCATTTTAGGGGTACCAGGCGTTAGGGAGCGGGCTATGGGCAGGGTGTTAGGCTTACGGCGGGGTCATAGGCGTTCAAAGGGATTTTAATGAATCGACTGCAGCCGAGTACCGTAAGATGGTGACTTAAGGGTTTAGGGTCTGGAATTTAATAGGGTCCAGGGTTTAGGGTTTAGACGATTTATGGCCTACTTTCAACAAAAACGTTGCTAAACCCCGCCACTACCTCTTTAATCATTTTTGTGAGGGGTTTGCCAAACAAAATCCTTCGGAGCCTTGGAGCCTAGGGGCCCTCGCGGATGCGTGACGCGTGCGTGGCAATGTGTTTCTGTCACGCTATACGCGCATGTACGCGCTTCTCTGAGGGTCCGTGGACCGGTGCGCCGGCTCACAGCCGCTGCGCAGTCTCCATGCGTTTGTGGTCTGAAACTTCCAGTACCGCATGGCTGTGGCGTTGCCGTGCTGCCATGTGCAGCCCCAGTTTGCCGACCGGCAATTGTACTCGTCGTATGGCCTCCAGGATTGGGAACGCAGACGCTGTGCATTGCCCCGTGGAGTTGTTGCCATACCACGCTTAGCTCGTCCTGATTCGAGCAGCGTGTTCATAGGGCTGAGCCCCGCGGCGATGCCCGATACGGGACATGCCTTTGTGTGAGCTCCGGTTTAGGATTTAGGGATTTAAGGGTTTAGGGATTTAGGGGTTTAGGGTTTTAGGGGTTTAGGGGTTTAGGGGTTTAGGGGTCTAGGGGTCTAGGGTAGGGTTTTAGGGGTTTAGGGGTTTAGGGTTTAGGGGTTTAGGGGTTTAGGGTTTAGGGGTTACAGGGGTTTAGGGTTTTTTTGATGCGATGGCAGAGGGGTTTAGGGTTTAGGGGATTGGGGTTTAGGGTTTCGGGGCTAAGGGTTTAAGGCTACCTAGCAAGGACGAAGCCCGCATTGCAGGGTAACTCCGAAGCAAAAGGGTTAAGGGTTTGTAAGGATTTAGGGTTTAGGGTTTGTAAGGGTTTAGGGTTTGTAAGGATTTAGGGTTCAGGGTTTGCAAGGATTTAGGGTTTAGGGTTTGTAAGGACTTAGGGTTTAGGGTTTATCGGATTTAGGGTTTAGGGTTTGTAAGGACTTAGGGTTTAGGGTTTAGGGTTTGTAAGGAATTAGGGTTTAGGGTTTGTAAGGACTTAGGGTTACGGGTTTAAGTAAGGATTTAGGGTTCAGGGTTTGCAAGGACTTAGGGTTAAGGGTTTGTAAGGACGTAGGCTTAGGGTTTAGGGTTTGTAAGGAATTAGGGTTTAGGGTTTGTAAGGACTTAGGGTTTAGGGTTTAAGTAAGGATTTAGGGTTCAGGGCTTGCAAGGACTTAGGGTTAAGGGTTTGTAAGGACTTAGGGTTTAGGGTTTAAGGATTTAGGGTTCAGGGTTTGCAAGGACTTAGGGTTAAGGGTTTGTAAGGACTTAGGCTTAGGGTTTAGGGTTTGTAAGGCCTTAGGGTTTAGGGTTTGTAAGGACTTAGGGTCTAGGGTTTGGGCTTTAAGGGTTTTGGAATTAACTTAATGGAACCTTCCGCGAGTCCCTAAACCCTAAATTCCTTACAAGCCCTAAACCCTAAGCCTAAGTCCTTACAAACCCTTCACCCTAACTCCTTGCAAACCCTGAACCCTAAATCCTTACTTAAACCCTAAACCCTAAGTCCTTACAAACCCTAACTAAATCCTTACAAACCCTAAACCCTAAGCCTAAGTCCTTACAAACCCGAACCCGCCTCCGGCTCCAGCGCGGATTCCGCTGCCGAGCCTCGGCGAGTAAGGTTTAGGGTTTAGGGTTTAGGGTTTTCGACGCTCACACTCGCACAGGCAGGCAAGGCTCCACGGGTTTAGGGTTTAGGGTTTATGGATACCCTTCAAAAAAGCCTGAATTCCCGCTGGCCTGAGCAGGCAAGCCGGGCCGGGATGAAGATCGCCTGCCGCGGGGGGGGGGGTTCTGCGGTTTATCGGGCTGGGGGGGTTTACTTGACAAGCTGATTGAAGAAAGCATTGTTTTTGCATGTGCGCTCGCTGTCGGCCGCACGGCTGGAGGGTGCAGGCAACATCGACTAGACTTGACGTTGCTCTGCACATGCCAGGATTCTGGCCAGCTGGACAATGCCAGGATTCCGTCGTGGCTGGCTGGCTTGAAATCATTGAATTGGCACAAGCTGCTTGTCCCCCTGTGCGTTCGGCCAAGATCCTAAGCCTAGGAGCCTTGGGAGCCTGGGAGCCTTGGAACCTTGAACTTGAGTGAAACAAAGCTATAATACATTTACACATGAATCATATCACTTTTGTATTATTGTCATTAATATAAATCATGGCTCCTCAAGACATCCCAGCCTTAGAACCTAGGAGCCTAGGGGCCTGGGGATCGCCTGTGCAAAACAAAGCCAGCCAGCAATGAAACAGTCAGCAGGCTTCACTGATCAGGGTTCCTGGTGCCTGAGTATTTCATGGCCAAGTCGACCTGTCGCCCCCATTTACCGCACCGGCAGAGGGTGACCGTGTACGGCCTGCCAATGGCATCCAGGTGCCGCTGAAACTTCATCACCAAGGGCACCCGCTTCCACAGGATCACGCGTTCCTGGGATGGAAGGTTATCAGTCAAGTTAATACTAAACTATTTTATTTAAAATCGCCCAGGCGCCAGAGTGTAGCCATCCAAGAAGAGCCCGAAGTCGTCCCCATCGCCCAGGTAGGCGAAGGTCACCTCCCTCTTCTTCGAGAAGCGGAAGTCCTCCATGGTCTCGTCCAGATCGCCCTTGATCACCTCACAGAACGGCATCTTCGTCTCAGTGACGAACTTCTTCGAAGCGCAAACCGTCGCTGGGATCAGGCCGATGGAGTAGAAATAGCCTTGATCGGTCGCCCACAAAGACTTGGATCCGTACAGCGCCGCCATCTCAAGGCCGTCGGCAGGGAGTGGCGTAATGAAGTGCCCAAACCCGGCATCCATCCGGGCAGTGTTGGTCATCACCTCCGACCGCCTTGGATTTTTATCTAATTAATAAATAATTTAATCATAACGGAACGGCACAAAATACTGAGCCAAGTTGCCGCAGGGCTTGGTTGAAGACAGCAAGCCGCACGCCGCACTTGTACAGCTTGTTTTCATACTCCTCGGTGAAGCGCTCGCGGAGGAAACTGTTTTGGAGCATCATCTCGTTCCTCTCCTCCACGGATGCGAAGGTCTGCGCAGCAATGCCTATCGGAGCAGATCTTGGTACCGCTGACAGGAACCCGCATTTGTTCAAGAACATGGAGGCAAAGGCCAAGACATCCTGGGCGTACGATGACACCGACAAGAGCAAGCCATCCGTCATGATCGGCAGTGACCATCCTGCCCACTGGGGATCCTGGTCCTTGGTTAAGTCTGGACTCAGTCGAATGAGTCATATATAATAAGTCAAACGATGCAAACAATCTGTTACTCCAACTTCGATCTAGCCTAGCCAGGGTTCGAAGCGATTCAACATACATCCTCGCGCAGCCCCGTTTGCTATGTATGGGAACAAGAGGATGCGGACCACCTTTTCGTCAGGCGCATAGAGAAACTGATCCAGAAGCTCCCGGATGCAGCACGCCACCTCAGTGCAATTAATAATAATTACATTCATTCACAGATTTAAGTTAATTAATAACTTCATCAGGCTCAGGTACAACAGAGTACACCTGCGGCGTTGCATTCTGCGGCGGCATGGACGTCGCGATGCTCTGCAACTTGGGCATAACCTCCATGTCTTCCCACGGGAAATCTGAGTTGACACGATCTTCAGAACAATTCAAATGAAAAACTAAACTACAACCTACTATAATAATATGATTAATTATTATGATTACTAAATTAAATTAATTATTTAATTATTATATTATTAAATTAAATTTTAATGTTATTCTGCCGAGGTACATGCTATGATGCCACAATTGTCGGAAAAACTGCCGTCTGGGTAGAATGAGCTGCGATACGCATTGAACCCTGCCAGTGCCCACGTGAACTGCTCACTCGTGTCGTAACGGTCTCTCAGCAGGTCCGGCGCTTGCTTCAGGTGCCTGGAGGATCTATAATAATAATTATTAAAATAAAAAAACTGATTAATTATAATTTCAAAGCAATAAACCAAATAATTAATGTAACATCTAACTTGAACTCCCAGTCGTTTAAGCCAATGTGCATATAGTGGGACTGGAGATCCGTAGCCTTGTAGCGCAGCATCGCCGGTTTGATCATGGACTGAAGGACTTGTGGGATGTTCTCGCCGACATCCGACGAAGTGGCATCGTCACTGGCCCTTGCCAACGAAGTCGATCCCGAGCCAGGCTGCTGCTGCTCCTCCTGGTCCTCCTTTTTGGCGGGATCTGAGACCACTGTGAAGCCCTCCGAATCCACCGTCTCGGACGGCTGTGCAGCCGCAGCTGCGGCGGTGTCCGTGGACTCGACCGCCTTCGCTCGGAGCTTCAATGCAGCCATGATGTCACTGTCCGCGCTGCTTGACATATGCTAACCCAGGAACTGGTCTGACTCCTGCTTCAGGAGCCTGAAACCTGGGAGCCTGAAAGAGCCTGGGAGCCACCGTGACAGGAAACGCAAGTGAAAGCAGCTGACTGTGATTGCATGTGGTGCACGGCAAACACTCCAGGCATGCATGCAACACTCCGCAGGTGCATGCAAAACTGGCGGCTTGCCTTCACGAAGAGCCGCGGCGGCCGTCGGCAGGTGTTCAAAACCTCAGTGGAACTGACTGAAATCTGGGAGCCTAAAGTGCCTGGGAGCCTAAAGTGCCTGGGAGCCACCGTGACAGGAATTTCAAGTCAAAGCAGCTGACTGTCATTGCATGTGGTGCTCGGCAAACACTCCAGCGGCAACACTCGCAAGTCAAAGCAACTGACTGTGATTGCATGTGGTGCTCGGCAAACACTCCATTGGCAACACTCCACGGGTGCGTGCAAAACTCGCGGATTGCCTTTGCAGAGCCGCGGCGGGCCGTCGGCAGGTGTTCAAACCTCAGTGGAACTGACTGAAACCTGGGAGCCTAAAGTGCCTGGGAGCCTTTAAAGTGAAAGCTGCTGACTGTCATTGCATGTGGTGCTCGGAAAACACTCCAGCGGCAACACTCGCAAGTCAAAGCAGCTGACTGTGATTGCATGTGGTGCGCGGCAAACACTCTAGGCATGCATGCAACACTCCACGGGTAAATGCAAAACTAGCGGCTTGTCTTCGAAGAGCCGCGGCGGCCGTCGGCAGGTGTTCAAAACCTCAGTGGAACTGACTGAAACCTTGGAGCCTAAAGTCCCTGGGAGCCTAAAGTGCCTGGGAGCCTTTAAAGTGAAAGCTGCTGACTGTCATTGCATGTGGTGCTCGGAAAACACTCCAGCGGCAACACTCGCAAGTCAAAGCAGCTGACTGTGATTGCATGTGGTGCACGGCAAACACTCTGGGCATGCATGCAACACTCCATGGGTAAATGCAAAACTGGCGGCTTGTCTTCGCAGAGCCGCGGCGGCCGTCGGCAGGCGTTCAAAACCTCAGTGGAACTGACTGAAACCTGGGAGCCTAAAGTGCCTGGGAGCCTAAAGTGCCTGGGAGTCACCGTGACAGGAATCGCAAGTCAAAGCAGCTGACTGTCATTGCATGTGGTGCTCGGCAAACACTCCAGCGGCAACACTCGCAAGTCAAAGCAGCTGACTGTCATTGCATGTGGTGCTGGGCAAACACTCCAGGGGCAACACTCCACGGGTGCATGCAAAACTGGTGGCTTGTCTTCGAAGAGCCGCGGCGGCCGTCGGCAGGTGTTCAAAACCTCAGTGGAACTGACTGAAACCTGGGAGAGCCTAAAGTGCCTGGGAGCCTAAAGTGAAAGCAGCTGACTGTCATTGCATGTGGTGCTCGGCAAACACTCCAGTGGCAACACTCGCAAGTCAAAGCAGCTGACTGTGATTGCATGTGGTGCACGGCAAACACTCTAGGCATGCATGCAACACTCCACGGGTAAATGCAAAACTGGCGGCTTGTCTTCGAAGAGCCGCGGCGGCCGTCGGAGGAAACCTCAGTGGAACTGAGTGAAACCTGGGAGCCTAAAGTGCCTGGGAGCCTAAAGTGCCTGGGAGCCTAAAGTGAAAGCTGCTGACTGTCATTGCATGTGGTGCTCGACAAACGCTCCAGTGGCAACACTCGCAAGTCAAAGCAGCTGACTGTGATTGCATGTGGTGCACGGCAAACACTCTAGGCATGCATGCAACACTCCACGGGTGCATGCAAAACTGGCGGCTTGTCTTCAAACTTCGAAGAGCCGCGGCGGCCGTCGGCAGGTGTTCAAAACCTCAGTGGGGCTGACTGAAACCTGGGAGCCTAAAGTGCCTGGGAGCCTAAAGTGAAAGCAGCTGACTGTCATTGCATGTGGTGCTCGACAAACACTCCAGTGGCAACACTCGCAAGTCAAAGCAGCTGACTGTGATTGCATGTGGTGCACGGCAAACACTCTAGGCATGCATGCAACACTCCACGGGTAAATGCAAAACTAGCGGCTTGTCTTCGAAGAGCCGCGGCGGCCGTCGGCAGGTGTTCAAACCTCAGTGGAACTGACTGAAACCTGGGAGCCTAAAGTGCCTGGGAGCCTAAAGTGAAAGCAGCTGACTGTCATTGCATGTGGTGCTCGGCAAACACTCCAGTGGCAACACTCGCAAGTCAAAGCAGCTGACTGTGATTGCATGTGGTGCACGGCAAACACTCTAGGCATGCATGCAACACTCCACGGGTAAATGCAAAACTGGCGGCTTGTCTTCGAAGAGCCGCGGCGGCCTTCGGCAGGAAACCTCGGTGGAACTGAGTGAAACCTGGGAGCCTAAAGTGCCTGGGAGCCTAAAGTGCCTGGGAAAAGCAGCTGACTGTCATTGCATGTGGTGCTCGGCAAACACTCCAGTGGCAACACTCGCAAGTCAAAGCAGCTGACTGTGATTGCATGTGGTGCACGGCAAACACTCTAGGCATGCATGCAACACTCCACGGGTGCATGCAAAACTGGCGGCTCGTCTTCAAACTTCGAAGAGCCGCGGCGGCCGTCGGCAGGTGTTCAAAACCTCAGTGGAACTGACTGAAACCTGGGAGCCTAAAGTGCCTGGGAGCCTAAAGTGAAAGCAGCTGACTGTCATTGCATGTGGTGCTCGGCAAACACTCCAGTGGCAACACTCGCAAGTCAAAGCAGCTGACTGTGATTGCATGTGGTGCACGGCAAACATTCTTCGAAGACAAGCCGCTCTCTCTCTCTCCCCCGAGTCCGTGTGAGAGAGAGAGAGCGGCTTGTCTTCGAAGAGCCGCGGCGGCCGTCGGCAGGTGTTCAAACCTCAGTGGAACTGACTGAAACCTGGGAGCCTAAAGTGCCTGGGAGCCTAAACTGAAAGCAGCTGACTGTCATTGCATGTGGTGCTCGGCAAACACTCCAGTGGCAACACTCGCAAGTCAAAGCAGCTGACTCTGATTGCATGTGGTGCACGGCAAACACTCAAGGCATGCATGCAACACTCCATGGGTAAATGCAAAACTGGCGGCTTGTCTTCGCAGAGCCGCGGCGGCCGTCGGCAGGCGTTCAAAACCTCAGTGGAACTGACTGAAACCTGGGAGCCTAAAGTGCCTGGGAGCCTAAAGTGCCTGGGAGCCGCCGTGACAGGAATCGCAAGTCAAAGCAGCTGACTGTCATTGCATGTCATGCTATAACATGATTTTTGCTCTCGTCCTGCCCCCCCCCCCCCCTGAGGCTGCGGCTGCGGCTGCGGCCACAGCCGAAGAGTGATCACGACGAAGTCCATGAAGACATGGCGGCACGGGTTAGGGGTGGGCCTTGAGCCTGGCAGCCTGGGAGCCTTGGAGCCACCACCTACTGTAGTCTGACTGACTGAGCCTGGACCTGCATGCTGGGGTCTGACCGAGCCTGGTGCATTGTTCTGGGTCTGTGCATGCATGCTGGGGTCTGACCCAGCCTGGTGCATTGTTCTGGGTCTGACCGAGCCTCGTGCATTGGTCTGTGCATGCATGCTGGGGTCTGACCGAGCCTGGTGCATTGTTCTGGGTCTGTGCATGCATGCTGGGGTCTGACCCAGCCTGGTGCATTGTTCTGGGTCTGACCGAGCCTCGTGCATTGGTCTGTGCATGCATGCTGGGGTCTGACCGAGCCTGGTGCATTGTTCTGGGTCTGTGCATGCACGCTGGGGCCTCGGTCGGGGATGCACGGGCATCCCTCACCCCCGCAAGATGTCAGTGGTGGGACCACAGACATCTTGCGGGGGTGATGGATGTCTCTATCCATGCACGCTGGGGCCTCGGTCGGGGTTC